TATCCTTGACTATTTGTGAACAATAATCTAATCTAATATTAATGTGAAAATTCATTTCATTTTTATCCACTACAAATTACGTCTTTTCTTAATAATTTGAGGTAAAATGAATTTTTACAATAATATCAATTAGAATAATTCCCGAAAGTATCATCAATTGGCTAATAAAGGAAACTGCGTAAGTTGATAATCAATTCTAGATGACAAACTTCAGGCAATGAAAATTCCCGGAGCTGAAATACTGCAGCATGAGGACAACACATTATTTACCTAATTCAATTAATTTTTAAATTGTCATCATCTCTATCATTAATTAATATAAGGGCTAGTTTCATTTCATGAAGGTCGCACAAGAATCTCACACATTCCGCATGCGGCTATGAGGCCGCACATCCCTTACTACTGGTCTGAATCGATCGTCCAGACGTTTGACTTTGCCATTGATCATCACATTGAGTATTTTACTGATTGTGATGTATAGAATCAGTCTTTTGTTTATTTTTAACAAGTTCTTCCCCCTTATCAGTCACTGTGACCTCGAAACTGTTAGCACCATTGCTTCAAGTGGTCGAAATTCACTTTTGTGAACAATACTATGACGTAGTGTCGGCTATCATTTTTTTCTAATTGTTGCCGTTGTCGGCCATCATTCTTTTTCAAATGTTGTCGCATTGTTACTAATGTCGGCCATTACGTTTTTTTTAATAGATGTATAGTAATCAATAATTAAAATTTAAAGGAATTGTTTGTAAATATGTATGCAACACATCGTACGCTTCAGCATAAGAAATTGCTGATACCAACTTTCGTTTAGGTAATATTACTTTGCCCTGTGCTGGCAGCACTCATAATTTTTTTTATATATAATATTTTAAAATAATGTTACCTTTTTAAATGTTGTTTTTCTTTTTAAACCCCTGAATTGAAATCCTACATACGCCCATGATTGAGACTTTTTACCATTGCTTTTTTTAATTATTAATTGGGACAAATGGAGTCGAACCTATACCATAACCGTACCTATACAAACCCAAAAAAGGAATAAAATTAATTTTATTTTCAACGTTTTCCGTTTTGTCACTCCAAATCTTTTGAGCGAAATAGAATTTTCCTTTAAAATTTCAAACAAATGCAGAATAACTCACTCTATTTTGTGTTAAATATGGAAACAGTATTTTAGAAAATTTTACAAACTAAATTTATCGACAGTGTCTTTCACGGAACTGAGAATGGGCTGCCACTGATGCTAATACAGTTTCCGTTGATTCCGTTCTTTTTTCCAATTATTGAAACAAGTCGGATTCAGTAAAGTCCCTTAGTTAAAGTCATTAGTTATTCGTTTAATTAAATTTCAAAGGTTCGACTAGAACTTGGTACTATAAACAACGTAATTTTTTTCAGACAATGAGCGTGCTTTGTTTGCTTGAAGCCTCGGTCATCGATTTTATTGAAATCCGCTTGTGACGTTTTATTTGCTTTGCTTTTACATCTACGAGGTACACAACGATACAGAACCGAATTTATGACTTCAATAGCCAATTATCGAAATATTTCGGAGGAACTAATTAACAATACAAAGTGTTCTTAAAATTTAATAATAAATCCTCTAACAATGTCCTGGGATGAGTATTCTAAAATATTCTGATACATGATGCTGACCTACATTTTCCATATTTGTTAAATGTGGAAACATCATTTTTGAAGTGAATTCAATTGTTGATATTGGGCCTGTGTAGGGTCTATCACAAATATTTTCTCTAAATCAAGTTTGAATGTATTTTTTTATGCAAATCTGAAACAAAAATTGGTATGAATGAAGGATCAGACTTTATCAGGGTGAAAACATTTTTTATTAGGTACTCTAAAACCAACAAACCGATGTTTTGTCTTTAAGTGTGGACTTTTAGGTTACAAAATTCAGTAGGTACTCTTAATGTTCTGTAAATTAGAGACCATAATAAAGCCCACAAATTAGGGCGAAACGTGGGTTTGTTGGATTTGAATTTTTAGTTTTCATCCTGATCTACTCTGATTCATCATTCATTGTTGAACAAGGGGAAGATACTTTAGTGTCTGTTGGTGTTAATAATAATCAAAAACCAAGAAAACACTAACAATAACAAATAACAATTTATATCCAACAATAACAAACGAAAACACAAGTAACAAAACTGCACAAGGAAAATAAAACATACATACAAGAACAAAGTGACAAAAGGAACAAGATAATACAACAATAACAATAACAAAGACAACGACAATAAAACAGAGTAGATAAAAGCAGAAACACTTACAAATGGTAGTAGAGGCGGTAGACAAGAGACTGTATCAGGATATGAAAAAAAAAAAAATTTTTGGGTGTTTCATTCCCACCAGCCAGTAATGCTGGTGGGCGGGCAGTCCCTCCGGACTATGCCGAAAGGTAGGGCGGAAGGCCCTCTTCAACCTGCTTTCAGGAATCGTGGGAATGGGTGGGTGGTGGTTCGGGTGAGAAAGATGAGACGGACGAAATGAAGACAGAAGAGAATGAAAGATTATCTGTGGAATATTACTGCCTCAGCATTTGCCTAAGTGATCCAAGGAAACCACAGAAAAACTTGGACCAAGGCAGACGGACCCGGAATCGAACCGGCGTCCTCCCGAATGCTAAGCAATGGTCTAAACCTCTAGGCCATGCCGCTCGGTCTCCAGTCCAAAAAAAAAAAAAAAACTTTTGGGTGTTTCATTCCCACCAGCCAGTAATGCTGGTGGGCGGGCAGTCCCTCCGGACTATGCCGAAAGGTAGGGCGGAAGGCCCTCTTCAACCTGCTTTCAGGAATCGTGGGAATGGGTGGGTGGTGGTTCGGGTGAGAAAGATGAGACGGACGAAATAAAGATAGAAGAGAATGAAAGGTTATCTGTGGAATATTACTGCCCCAGCATTTACCTAAGTGATCCAAGGAAACCACAGAAAAACTTGGACCAAGGCGAATGGATCCTGAATCGAACCGGCGTCCTCCCGAATGCTAAGTAATGATCTAAACATGTAGGCAATGCCGCTTGGTAGCTGACTTGAAAAAAAAACTTTTGGGTGCTTCATTCCCACCAGCCACTAATGGTGCTGGGCGGCCAGTCCTTCCGGACTATGCCGAAAGGTAGGGCGGCCCTCTTCAGACTGCTTTCACGAATCATGGGAATGGGTGGGTGGTGGTACGGGTAAGAAAGATGAGACAGACGAAATAAAGATAGAAGAGAATGAAAGGTTATCTGTGGAATATTACTGCCCTAGCGTTTGCCTAAGTGATCCAAGGAAACCGCAGAAAAACTTGGACCAAGGCAGGCGGACCCTGAATCGAACCGGCGTCCTCCCGAATGCTAAGCAATGGTCTAAACCTCTAGGCCAAGCCCCTCGGTATCAAGATATGAAATTTTTGTAGTATTTATAGGATAGAGTTGTAAGTAGATTTGATAGAATGTTCAAGATGGAAAAGTAGTGAGAGAGAGGCTGAAGACACTGGTTTATAGAAATAAGTAGAATTAAACAGTACAGAATTCAAGAGAAAGCAATTAAGGGTAAGACCAGATATTAGTATGGGAGTTCATGCAGATATGGTTGAAGTTGGAATTCTAGGTAAAAGTGATTGAAAGAACAATAGCGTTTAGATTGATAGGAAACTAAGTTATGTAAAAGATAAGAAATTGAAATGAATTGAAATAAAATTTGACATGAAATAAATTTGAATGAAGTAAGAATGCTTTGAAAGTAATTTTCCCACCACAATACATATACTGCAAAATTGGTATTTCCATAAAAAAAACTTGAGTTCCTTGACCTTCCTGGATCACGTTAACAGCCCGAACTAGGCTAAACAATACCATTACATCGAATCATACAACTTTTGCTAAAGCTCAATTGGTGGCTTACTAGGATTCTTCTTTTACATTCTCCGACATATTACCGACTTGTTTAAATAATCTATTTTATCCAAGATCATCGATGACCACATAAAACCAATTTTCTATTCCTCGCGAACGTTATACTTTTTTTTTGGATACAAAATATCCTCTGTCCTTTTCAGTATCCCTGACCATGTGTGTACAAAATTTCATGATAGGTATCACCAAAGGCTTTGCTCGTGGTGATGTCCTAAGTACGTGTCAAAATAATCGAAGATACAATAATTTAATAAATGGTCCTGACCAGGATTCCCTGCGTCCTATTCTGTGTCCCTGACAATGTGTGTAGAAAATTTCAGGATGATTAGTAATTAAGGCCTGAAATGTTACCAAACAAACAGACAAAAAAACTCACCATCTAATATACCGCTACGACATCTGTGAGTAACTATAGTGCCAAAAGTGCAACAGCTCGGATACTGCCAAAATGGTTGCTGTGGCTTGTGGCTTCTACTGTTATTATATGTATGGTACATTGGTAGATGGCAACATATTAACGAAATTCAATATTAAGTATATCTAGAAATTTAATAAAAAATGGGCGAGCCTGTATTAGTGAAACTTATTTATATTGTATATTATAGTAGTATTTAAAAAAAAATTGGCTTAAACTATTGCATTAACTAATTACTAAACACCAGAAAAATACAACTTTAATTCGAGCGGATGAATGCTGAATATTGGTTTAGTGTTGTTAAAAATTTTTACGCTTGCACCATACAAAACTGCGGAGAGGAATTACAAATCAAAACAAACAAACACTAACGCATATGCAATATGTAGGGGGAGAAGTGGCATGAAAGAGCCAGTTTACTAAACGGAGCCAAAAAATATAGTTTTTATAAAAAAAATCAGGATTTTTTTTTCTCAAATTATTGTTTATTTATTAAAGTAGGTAATTTCATACAAACAAATTTAAATATAATAATAGGATTAATGAAATATTCATTTAAAAAAAATGTGTCTTTTAGCTCATTCATAACATTTTGGTATTGAAAGAGCCACCGAAAGTTTTAAAAGAGCCGCTCTGCATTAAAAAGTATAATTGTGACAATTATTCAAAATAGTAATCATTGCAGTATTAGGAAAAAGCAAAAGGATATTTCTAACAAATTCTTTTTAAATACAAAATAACATTTTTATAATTTTTTTTATTCTATCGGTCGTTTTAGGTAATTCTAACACACATCTTTATCTTAACATTATTCAGTCATACCTATTTATTAGAGGCGGATTATTTTTCATAAATAACAGTCTCGAAAAATAAACAAAATAATAAATATCTTTTATAAATGAAAACATCATTAAATATTTAAGAACTTCAATAAAAAAATATTGCTCATTTTAAGCTTAAAATCTTAACTATCTATTTGCTTAAGTTTAAGATAACTAATCAGACTTTTTAGGAACAGAATATTGTTATTTACTTAAAATTAGAAGCACTTATTGCAAAAGAAATTAAATTGCCCCTTAATACCACAGGATTCGTGAGCCCAACCAGAACAAATTTTGCACTGAAACCAATCTTGATCACTGTTTTTATATGGTTTGCTGCATATAACGCAATCTTCACTAATTTTATTTGTTTTGCAGTTTGCTTTGTTTTGAATAACTTTTTTTTTTACTTCAGCCAATACGATAGAGTCAGACGAATCGGAATCATATTGCAGTACCAAATTTTCTTGATTTATTTTTGATTTTCTGTTAAGAGTTTTTATTGACTGTTTTGTAGTCATTTTCTTAATATTAAGTTTTGTTTTTTTTGCATTACTCTCTTTCCCTTCTAATTTTTCCTTTTCGGGTGTGTCAGTTACAATGGCTGATGACATTTTTCTATTATTGCGTGTCGTGTTTTGTCTTGGCCCTGCTTTAGAAAATGGTCTTACCATTTCGGGCGATATAATTTGTTGCCTAGAAGTACTTGGAATCGCAACCATAGGGGCAGAGATTAAATCGGAAGATGATCTGATATTCTGGCCTGCTACAACCTCATTTTCTTCGCATGCTTCAAATATTTTTGTAGAAGGAGGAGGTGTAGATCTTAAGTTAGTTTCAATATTTTCCTTGTCCGATTTTAGCTCACCGCCATCTTTTGACTGTGACGGATCAGGTCTATCAGTCACATATGAAGTTAAAAATTCTTCCTCATTAAATATATTAGAATTTAGAGGATAAATTCCTGTTTTCAAAAATCCTTGAGTTATATTTTGAGGACTAAATGCTGACAGATATGCCTCTTTTACAAATTGTCCAACTTGATAAATGGTCACCGTTTTACCAGGGTTTGACAACATCCATTCATTCATGGCAATGCGGTATCTAGTTTTAAAAGGGCCATATACAGTGACATCGAGTGGTTGCAGTTTGTGACTGCAGTGCGGCGGGAATGTAACTATAACGATTGAGTTTTGTCTGGCAAATTCAACCACTCTGAGATTCACATGAGAGCTGTGATTATCCATTAAAATCAATGCTGGATTTTCCTTTGATGGTCTAATATAAGTCACAAAGTGTTCAAGCGCTTTAACGAAACAGTCTTCAGTCATCCATCCAGAAGGTTGAGCCAACCCTAGAGCTCCAGGTGGACCATTATTTAACATAATATCTTTGTAGTTCACCCTAGGAAACACAAAAATAGGCGGTAAGAAACCACCAGCAGCATTAATAAAGAACAGAGTTGTCACCAATGTTCCTCGTTCACCTGAGGTAACTTGCCCAATTTGTTTTGAACCTCTTTCGGCTATCACTTTAGGTGGATTGGTGACGGTGCTGCAGCCTGTTTCGTCGGCGTTAAAAATCATATGGGGAAGAAAATTGTGTTTGCGTAAAACAGTGGTCAGTTTCTCAAAAAAGTTGTTTACATTTGTTTTATTAAAACTTGTTGCACGGGATAGAGAAGTGCTTTCAGGTTTTCGCACAGCTAAGTCTTTGTGTCTGCTCATAAACCCTTTGAGCCAATCGTCACTAGCAGTTTCAATTTCCTTCCATTTATCTGGGCAAATATCATCAGCCATGGCATAATCAAATGCTAGCTTCTTAGTTTGCTGCCTAGTTAGGCCATAGCACATTTTAGAAGCCGTCTTTAAATAATCTGCGAGCATATTCTCCTGGTCTCTTGTAAAAATACGCTTATTCCCTATATTAGGACAGTGTTTATAAGATAATTCACCAGAAGCTTTTACTTTTTTAACTATTTTAGCTAAATAAGCCCTCGATATATTTAAGGCAAGTGCAGTTTTGTTTATGGACTGACCTTTCTGCAAAACTTCACTGACTGCTTCTTCGATTGCCTCTTTTTCGGGTCTTTTTCGTTTTTCTGAACCAGGTTTCTCCATAATGTAATTTCTGAAGCAAATAGTTAAATAATATACGAAATAAATTGCATATTCAAACGGGTTATAAAAGAGCCGGCTATGAAAGAGCCAGCTCTTTTGAGGCCCATTAACCCGGCTCTTTCATAACTTATTTTAAAAAAAACTATAAACTTCGAAATAACAACAATATCAAAACTTTTGCGGCTTAGTTTTTACGCAGTTACAAGGCCAAATATATGCAAAACCCCAGTCAACAATCTATGTATCTATATTTGTTTACAGTAAAATACAAAAACACAACTCAAATGGAGCAAAATACTTACTTTTTAGTGTCAAAAACTTTAACTTGATGTACAGGTGTCCGTTGGTTTCGGCGAACTATCAAACGTTTATGGGTGATGGGAAATCAGTGTTGCCACTTAAAAATAATATTACCAACCAAATTCGTTCTTAAGCTACCGAAATAATGCAGGTGGCTCTTTCAAAGCTTGGCTCCTTCATGCCACTTCTCCCCTACATATGAAGAAAGTACAGCGTAGGCGCGATCTGCTGACAATTTGTCTAAATGACAATTTTCGGATTATCGATTACTACTAACAGGTTAACATCTGAAGCCTGTTACAATCACTCCTTTTAGACATATCCACCAGGGGTGACACGTGGCACGTGACGTGACTCGTAATGTTACACTTTTCGGTTTTATACCTTAATAAATTTCCTTCTTACCGTTGATAAAGAAGTTTCACTTCAATAACTTACTTAATAATAAACTATTATAGCTGAAAATATGTTTCAGACAATAAGAAATGTACTACCTATATGTATAATGATACCAAAATATGAAGCTACAACTATGTGGTATTTGTCAATAAGGTATAAGTACATTCTAACTTATTAAATACCGAGCGGCATAGCCTAGAGGATTAGACCATTGCTTAGCATTCGGGAGGACGCCGGTTCGATTCAGGGTCCATCTGCCTTGGTCCAAGGTTTTCTGTGATTTCCTTGGATCACTTAGGCAAATGCTGAGGCAGTAATAATCCAGAGATAATCTTTCATTCTCTTCTGTCTTCATTTCGCCCGTCTCAACTTTCTCACCCGAACCACCACCCACCCATTCCCACGATTCCTGAAAGCAGGCTGAAGAGGGCCTTCTGCTCTACCTTCCGGCATAGTTCGGTAGGGACTGCCCGCCCACCAGCATTACTGGCTGGTGGGAATGAAACACCCAAAAGTTTTTTTTTCTAACTTATTGCTATAACATACAAACATAATGATCCACTTGTATGTATACTATACCTTTATAAAATAGTTGCATAAGTGACTGACAGATAAAGCACAGCCTAAACCACTCAAGACAGAATCATGAAATTTGAATTTGGGTGTGAATGTCCATTAAGAAAGCTTTTTTAAAAATCTACCCCTGCAGAGGGGTGAAGGGAGGCTACTGTATGTATGCAAAACCGTTTTCCATGCGTGTATAAACTTTAAACTTGACACAAAAGACCTTTAAAGCAAATACATCATAAAATTTTAAGATTTACTAAAACGGAGTAAGTACCTATTGTCTGGGACAATCTGATTTCCTATGCTTGTCCATTTAAAACTTATTGTTAGTATAATACTTTTCAAATCAAATGATAGTTCCACAGAGAAAAAGTTTTGCTGTTTTCACCTGAAAGTTGTTCATTTAACAAAATTAGGTTAAAAAGAATGTCGTACACTGAACCAAAAAAGTACGTAAATGCAACAAAAAGTAGATTGCATCAACAAAATGTACTTTAATATTGGTCCAATAAAGAAGTTCGTCATTAACACAATGAATAGAAGTTTGTTATTCAATAAAGGCGTTTATTAACCAACGTATAGTACATTGCTGCAAAGAAAAATAGTTCGTTGGGGCAAAATTTTGATACATTGAGGCAACGAACTGTTAATTATTCAAAAAATTGTTCGTTTTGGCAATACAAAATATTCATTGTTTAACAATATCGGTTCATAAGTTAATAAAATAGTGTTATATTATCCCAATATACCAATTTTTGATTGATTATTTAATTAATCTTCATTGATTTAATGATGATCTG